GGCAAAGCTTTAAAGATATTCTCAATAAAAGAAGTGACACGACACAATTAGGATTGATGCATGTTTTTCTACAAAGAACAGTTTTAATGCTCCCTAAAGTTTAAACCAAAGTCTTCACTAAAATCTGCATCATCGCTGTCATTACATTACAGTCAGCGGCGACATGAGATGGAAAAAGTTCTCTCTGGGGAATTTTGCTTCTTCCTGCAGCTGGAGCCTTTTCATGTCCTTCGCTACAGTGAGGTTTCTACCACCTGTAGCTAACTAACAGCAGACAGCTTGCAATTCACTTCTATGGAGAATCAGCTGTGCATAAAATGAACTCATTAGATCACATTTAACACAATAGAGTGGCGCAGTGATTACCTATTTTTGTAAACCAACTCAGAAGTTGGCATCGCAAAAGCTCATGGGACAAAGAGTCAATGGATGTTGTTCAATGGACTTTGGGATATTGTATAGAATAAGATCTGTTCACATGTTTATGATACCAACACATTTCTTTCAGCAGGATTATCTCCACACCTCTACTTTTCGAACAGTCAAAGCGTAAAGACAATAGCCAGAAGTAAAAAGCTAACGTCATGATATCAACTACTTCACAAATGCATTATATGGCCATGGTCCTATTTGACCACTTGTTAGCAACCGCCTTTTTTTAGACATGTAAAAGCTTCAGACATTCACCGGTGGGGTATTCACTGATGCAATTAATGTCGTAGAAATATCTTGTAAGCTCGTTTTAATCACAGACCTTATTTTAGGCACCAAAAACTCTTTAGAAAAACGACTGACTTGACGATGGAACCTGAAAAGTGCTAACCCATGACGAGGTGTAGGGCCCTGCACCACTCTTTAAGATCATTAGGATAAGATGACTAAACACTCACCTCACCTAATTTACATGTTAGAAATAAACCCAAACATATAAGCAAAGCATCCCCAACAAATAATCATTAAGTTGCAAAGGCTGTTGCGTTTACTTTAAGATTCAATCACCTCTTTATTTTAACCTGGGGTGAAGCTGACAGGAGCACCCTCGAGGTCTTTAGTGATAAACAACTTTTTAACAACCAGAATTGCTGATCTGTCCAAATAGTGTAATACCTCCGCAAACAACCAACCGGCCAGGTCAATTCTTTTTAGGCTGGCCTAGGGGCAGCTTTAAGGAGGGCGGCCTGAGAACAGCTATACAGCGCAATCAGGTTGTGAGGCTTGGAGGAGGATCTCTTAACACTGTTACGACTGGCAGGTAAACAGTTGGTTTCCTCCCATCCAGGATTCATCTGGAATACGGGACCCTTGCGATGACTAAAGAGTGAGAGAGTAATTTGTACACCTTGGCCTGAGGGCCCAACTGAGCACCGGATAAGAGGAGTCCGCCCAGGATATGCAAATACAAAATCTCCCTCCCCTCCGTCCACACACACACACACACACACACACACACACACACACACACACACACACACACACACACACACACACACACACACACACACACACACACACACACACACAAGTAGGCAAGCAAAACTAAAATAGCTCATGTAAAGAGTGCAAGAGCAGGTTATTGGGTGATTGACAGGCTCCCAGCGCATGGTAGTTGTTAAAGTGAGCATAAGAGACCAAAAAGAGAGATGAAAATAAATGCAGTCAGATGGTATACCTTTCCAAGCTTCCCTGTAATGAACTTCGTTGATGGCCATGACAATAGAAACAAAATGAAATCTGAAAATATGTTTTGGATGCTCCCAACCACTTGAGGCTGCTAAAGGCTATAAAATACAATACATTTTTTAAGACATAATTCAACTCTTCATAGATCTCCTGGGGGGTAAAAGTGAGTGTGGGGGGGGGCACGTTTTGACTCATGAGAGCATTTCATCTGGGTCAATATGTCTTTAAAAAGTGAGCTGTGCAAACAGAGGGAAACGCTCAGGGTAGGAATGTATGACCCCTTTTAAGTATGACTCGCACACTACCATCTACTTAGAAGACTGAAGCTTCAGTCACAGCAGCATGACTGAGAACTCTCACCCACGGCTTACAGATTTCAAAATAGAACCACTGAAGGATTTATGTCTGACTTACAGCACAATAACCTTAGTGTAAAGGTCAAAATGAATAACAAAGTCAACCAATTTAAAGTATGTGGCGCATCCCTTCATCTTCAGATCTCTGCTGAAAACGTACTGATATAGTCCAGTGCTTGCTTTAGTTGACAGACATTACTGCACTTCGGGGTATAAAAAGAAAAACACTCAGATATAATAATAAACATTAAGTCTTGAGCTTTCAAGAAAGGCCACCTGTAAGCTGGAAAACTGGAACAACTTTATCAACCATCTTATAAGTCATTGATGATTATACTGTGACGTTGATTACTGACGTTAATGAAAGACGTGTAATCATCGTCCACCCCGATATAAAGACAAGATACCCTCAAGGGCACATTGGAGAATATCTTGCCCCTACTGTTTTAATATGTCAGCATCAAGCTAAAAGTCAAATATATTTGTTAAATATTTGTTGGTCTTTTACTTATCCCCAATCCCAAAATGACTGTTTTTCTCGTTTTCAAGCTATTAAAGACAGGGGGAAACAATAACAAAATAAATGTGTTATTAATTGTTTAAGTTTACCTTTGCTAGGTGTGCAAATTACTAAATTGCCATAATGCTGCAAGGTGATAATCCAACAAAAGAAAGTTCCTTAATCTCAATTTCTCCTCACTATAACTTATTATAATCAGCCAGTGGTGATTGTAGGGACTCATTTCAGTCAGCACAAGCTTCACTTCCAACTTCAAAAAGGCAACTGCAAACAATAAAAAGGGTAATTCTATAATCTACAATGCTCCCAAGTGGACACAAAAACATCTAAAACGGACTAAAATACGATAATGTTGGACTTCCATTGATACATTGTTTGCTGAGATAGAACTTTTTCTTTTATTCCGGCTGCACAGCCACAACTTGTAGATGAAAAATGAACCAGATTGTAAAGTGACTTTGCATGCCTTCTTCAAAGTAATGTATTGCTGCTTTATAAAGCCCTTTAAGATTGTATGTGCCTTGCAGAAATCAACTCTTATATTTCTTTGTAATAAGAAAGCTGCTTCTTTCCATTAAAGAATGCCATTTCTCTCTTTTTCCTGTACATATATCACACCACAACAAAGTGGTGCTATTGATGGCATGTCAATCCAAATGCACGCACTTTCTTTGACCACTTGTTGTGAATTAAATGGTATTTTCCAGTATTGACACCACATCACAGCCACGCTATGTTTGTGCAACATGTACGCCTTGCAGAGGTGCAGAGCCTGTAAAGAAACACAATGATTTGATCTGTCAAAGCCTTTGACAAAGCTGTGAAAAGTCTTGACATGATCAGATTTTCCTACGTAGGTGGTGTGTGAGACACAGAGCGTAAGATGCTCAGTGTGTGTGCTTGGGGTGACATTTTCTCCAAGAGTGCAGCTTCCTGCTCAAACCCACACACTGGCTCGCCTTAAGAGAAAAAAGGACAAAACTGTTGCTGGACAAAGCCACTTGTTAATAACTTATTCAATTCTAGATTTTCACAACTAAGAACAATGAAGATACATATCGTGAAACTTGAACCACAACATCTCTAATAGACATTATTATTTCCAATAATCATAATCCTCCCAGGACTTCACATACACTCAGAAACCTGTTAGACGTCTAATGTTTGACTTGTCATTATTGCCACCATCTGCTTTGTAATATCTAACACTTCCCTCAGGCACACTGAGACATTTGGAAACCCCGAGGGTCCAATCCACTCATCTCTTTAGCACCAGTATAAAGTTTACACACATCTGCACCTTCACTCAAAGAGCATTTACACATTAAAAACAACAATTAGACAGACAAAAGAACATAACAGTAATGAAAGAGTGACATCAGCCCTAATCATCTCCTCCTGTCTCATAAATACAATACTGACCAAAAGTGTACAGACAGTCAGAAGATTAGGCGGGAGGTTTTGAGGGTTAACAAGACTGTGTATATAACAGCTGGTAAGACATGTTGTTAATATCTACTCGGGCTTGTTCACATTTGAAGCCTCTTTTGAGGTTTTTAAATGAAGCTTTGAATGTTTGTCGCCATATTTTATTACGTCATCATCCTAAAAAGATCCCTCGAACAAAACCTAATTTAAAGGGGACCTATCATGCAAAATGCACTTTTTGATGTCTTTTATACATAAATATGTGTCCCCGGTGCGTCGGGGAACTCACTCAGCGTCAGAAAATAAAACCCTCTCTCTTTTCCTCCGTACCCAAATCTTTTAAAAACAGGCGTACAACGAGCGGATACAGATTTGCTGCCGATCTGACGTCAAATCGGCAGCAGACCCACAGAAAGTTGCTATCAGAAACAATGCCTGACGTGTTTTGGACGTAATCTCGTCTTTGTTTACATTAGCAAGCCTCGCTAACACTCAGAGCTAACTTTTACTGTGTTTAAAAAGCAGGAAATAAAAAAAGGAACTCACCTTGTGATAAACCTGCAAGAGATAAAGCATTTGAGCTCCATACTGTTTCAGAAATAATCCTTGATGTGGTTTAGAACAGGATGACGTTTTATCACAGCACAATTTAACTTTATCTCCGGTAGAATTCTGATCAGGCATTTGCTCCGCCTCCTTTTTTTTTTCTTTTTTCAAGCTAAGGACCCAAAATCTGCATTTCTCTAACAGGGCTGCAAAAGAGGGGTATGAGCAGTATGAGGCATGGGTACAATGGGTGATCTGTTTGGTATTTTAAGCAAAAAACTTCACAGGACATCTTTTGTATAGGTATGGCCCTACAATATATTTTTCCAATATAGCATAATAGGTCCACTTTAAATGAAGTTATTCATCTAATTAAATCAGACTTTTTTTAGTAAATCAAATACCTTTCTTGTTGGAGCTATTATGTTTGTGTTATTTGTCCCATTAGAAGAGGGGTGTGCGGCAAGTAGGCCAGACATGTTGTTTGATTAAAGCAGAATATTTCCTAGATGAAAAAATGCTATCTTCTTTTATAATGTTGAAATTTAAACTTTAAATGGTGTGGAGTTATCAAAAATATTTGGTTAGACTAATTGGAAACAAACCTACGCAGTCACCAACATAATCTCATTCTACTAATAGCACAAAAACAAATAACATAAGTGTCACCTGTTCATTACGCAGAACGAATAATCATGCAAAAAGAGGAAGCTACACAGCATTAGAATATAGATTGAGAATACAAATGAGGCTTCCAACTATTTGGTACAGCCCTATTATAAACCAACCGGTCCTTGTCTAATCGTAGGTGTTAACCATGCTTTTCTTAAAGGACAAGATTCACCATGCAAACCAATACCTTTGACTCACACAAAAAATGAGACATGCCACGAGAAACCCTGGGCCAACCTTAAAAAAAAATGCATACAAGGTACAGATTTTTTTTTATTTTTTAGATTTAATTTTGAAAATTGGCATGCGCCTGTTTCGACTCCATAATATTGTATGGCCAATAGTTTATCTTAAAATATAGACCTACCACTGTATAAACATAAATACTCAACTCATTTTAGATCCAAAAAGGGAATGGAGCACTATTTTAACTGGTTGTGTCAAATAGGTTCAATACAACAAAGATACATATTTACACTCAGACACACAGAAGCAAACCCAAGCACAACCAGAGACACACCCAGAGACAGGTGCTTTCAGAGCATGTACAATCAGTCATCTTTATTTCAAAATTTACAAATCCTCTGGCAGAGTTTCATGACACACCCAGTGTAAAATAAACTCATTTGTACATCGTAATATTAAAAGCTTGTTCTAAGAGCAGGTAAAACCTCTTTCACTTCAGCAGTTCAGTCATTCATTTTCCATTCACTGCACTCTTATATGACAACGCTTCCTTTCAAAGTAAACGTATTGCTTCAATGTCAAAAATTAAAAGTGTTCACTTGTCTGTGTGTGTATCTGTGGTGCTGTGTGTGCATGCACGTGCATGTTCTCGCAACCTCATGGGAAAATCTCCAGGTGTTCTCCAAACCAAAATGTCTACCCCATGATCTAAAACACAAGCAGCAGTAAACCAGAACAATGGTTAACTGATCCATATTCCAATAGCTGCAGCACACCTGCAAACTAAATGAACCTCTTTTTCTCTTTTGAGGGTTCATGCAGATCAAAACTAGACAAGAGGCCGTGCAGTAAGAGATGCACATTCTCCCTGGCAAAGAATAAACTACTTTCCACAAAAAAAGTTGATAAAAAAAGCCAACTGCCATAAAAGCGTAGAAAAATAAGACTTAAATTTTAAAAAGTAAAAATGTAAATACATTCAATCAGGAGGTCTAAAAGTTTTTAAAATACTAATAGTGTTTAGAAACAAAATGCCAAGGAGTGGTTTATCCTGCTTGACTTAAAAGTCTATTGTTGTTCTTCAAGCAATGTCAGACTTGTTTGAATCTTTAAAAAAGGAAATGCATCGGCTCTTTAGTAATACTGTTTCTATGAGGCAGTGATCAGCAGCGAGTTCCGTCGTATTGTTGGTCCCAAACGTTTATTCAAACCACACCACTAATAATGGGACACCGTTAAAACGTTGGGTTTAGTTCCGTTGGTCGAGGAACTGCCAAAAAACAGTTCTCACCCCAGTACGAGTCAATTTAGCACCAAGCTGGAGACTGAAGTGCTTTTCATTTCCTCCTCTCCTCTACCTGGTGAAAGCTTTTCGATGATTAGCACGGACAACGTCGTCAGGTGAAGGCGATTCGAAGCCGAATGGTACAATTGGCGAGAGTGGCGAGTGCGGCTCCTCGGATTTGTCCTGTGATTCACACATGAAGGCCTGGTAACCACTTCCTGTCCTCTGAACTCTTATTCCTGCCTTGGATATATTAATCATCCTCTTCCGTTTTCTGCGGCCTGGAATCGACAAAGTAATCGCAAATACGGATGGTTGGGCAAAAACTGAAGGATCCAGTCCTGTGGCAACAGAATTTGGAGAAGAAGGTGAAGGGGGGTCGCTGTCCAAGTGACGAGAGCTTGCTCCATCCGATTGGGCCATGAGAGCACTCAAATCAATAGCATGATTCATCTTAGGTGGCCTGACGCTTTGGTGGTATGGTTTGTGGTCGACCTTACGCCTGGTCCCACCCTCTGCAGTACTTTCTGCTAACACAGCAGCCCTCTCTGGTTTTGCTGGTGAAAGGAGAGAGCTGAGGGAGTACTGTGACCCATTTGAGGTGGTTGAGGTTTTGCCTTTGTGTTCAGTCGTCAAATGTGTCAAAGAGGGCAGCTCAGAGATGCCAGGTGGGTGTTTCAGTGCATTTGCTGGAGATTCACCGCTGAAGGGTTGAGGGGAAGCAAAGGAACTGTTGGTTTGATGCTGCAGTGCTAGCTGAGATAATGACACAGTCCCAGCAACAAGGCCTGCAGGAGTATTGTTGGTTTGTTTAGGAAAGGGGAGAGTGTTTGCTGTTTTTTTAGTGCTCTGCGACTGTGATTGAATGAGCGTATTTTTGTTTTGGTGCTGTGAAGCGAGCCCAGACAGGGATAGTTGTGCTGATGCAGCCATCCCCTGACACGTCGCAGAAGTTACGCAGCTCAGGGGAGTAGGAAAGGAGTTACTGAGGGTCGGGCTGCGGTTTGAATATTCCTGGATTAAATCAGCCAAGGATGGGCTTCCCTTAGGATCAGCCGGTTTGGCTTTGCCTCCAATCGCAACTCCCACTGAGGGCTGATTGCTCAAGAGGACAGAACTTAGACTCCCAAACCCAGGAGGAGCCGCCAGAGAAGAGCTTGCAGTTGTTATCTTGGGGTTGGTTAGCGACATACTACTGAGGGAAACTGAGAGGAGGGATGGAGCTGGGCCTTGAGATGCTGAAGTCATGTTTAAAGATGCCAGTGTTCCCAATGAAAGACCCTTCTGATTAGACATAATTGACGGAGGTGAATTATGTCCGATGGCGAGAGCACCTAATGAGGGAATTCCAAAACCTCGCCCTGCGTCACCTACTCCTGTCGCCTTACTCTTCTGCTCATGCTCACACATAAGTTGTGCCAGACTGGCAATACCTGAACCCCCGTTTTGATTGATAACATTTAGATTTACAGAGCTGCTACAGGGTACAGGGTCAGCCTTATATTGCGGTGTGAGGTCACGCAAAGCACTTGCTTGCGCATGCGGTTGCGTTTGTTTGAGACAATCAGTCTGGGGTTTGTGTGCATCGGATGTAATGTCTGTGTGGGCTCCTTACCTTACAAAAGCCAATTAGAGTTGTCGAAGAGAAGAGACAGGAGGACAACAGAACAGGAGTCAGATGAATCATGCCGGAAATAAGAGGGAGAAAAACAGAAGAAGGCACTTTGTTAAACAGTTGCATCAGTAAAATGAGTCATTGCACACATGTTTTTACAAGTACAATACAATGAACATCAAGATAAATGCTTACATTGGGGGTGTTTTTATTTCGCATAGCGATGTCTATTCAAAAAGAACAAATTATTGACACAGTTGGTATTCATTATGAAAAGAGGTAATTGATTATTATTCCTTAAAAATGGGGAACTAGATCTTTAATGGCGCGTTTCCACTGCAGCGCGGAGCTTGCTTTAAGCGTGCCAAGCCGTGCGGGGCCCGTTTCCACTTGGCCTAGTACCGGCTAGCGGGTCCTAATTCACAGTTTTTCTGGCCCCATAAAATCGTGGTTCTAGGGCCAGGAACAACCAGGCTGAGTCGGGCTGAGTATGCTAAACTAGTGATTTAATTGTAATACACGTTTCAAAATGATGCCGAAGTAACACCATACTGATACCGGTTAGTAAAAACCATGAATTAATGCTTTGACAAGCCTGCAGGCAAGACGGCAGGCGAAAAACCTTTTAAAATGCGTGTTTTCTAAATGGAAATTGGCCTTGCTAACGTTGTAAATGCTCCGACCGTCCACACTCACAACAACGGCCTACAGATATAAATAAACCAGCGACTGTATTCGCCATGACACAGACAGTCTGTGGTTTGTACTTGTTTAACTTTTGTCTAGTTTCTGAACAGATATGAGGAGCTGTGAGCTCTGAGTGCTTACAGCTAACGGCTGTGTTGTTTTTCTGGGGCTCTCATTGAAGATGACGTCACGGCTCCGCCTACACTGGTTCCTATAGATACTACCCCAGTTCCTAAACTGTAATGGAAATGCGCCATAAAGTGAGCCAGTCCTAACGAGGCCTAGCCATACCGAGCGAGGCCGTGTAGTGGAAATGCGCCATAAGTGGCTACATGAGAAGAAAACATAAATCAATTTCATAAGAAATATATGAATCTTTTTTCCGTAGCGGATAATAACTTTAACAGATCTTGTGCTTTGTTTGACAAATAAGTCGAAAAAAAATTCAAATGAACCATTCTCATTCACAGCGGATCACTGATCACAATCCCTGACTCATAACATTTTCATAATTTGATCTGGTCCAAGCGTACCTTTCTCAGCGACGGCCTCTTTCTTGATTCTTTGTGAAAGCGGCGCTTTCTCTTGGCTTGCTATTGCGGCTAAAGCTGTCTCCTCATTGGTGCTTTTGGTAACCGGGGCTGTCTTAGCATCTTCAGAGAGGACTGCATCCAAGGCCTTCTGTGGGTCAAATCCACAGCTTATGGCTGCCTGGGTCAGGACTGAGTCTTGCACTGCATCTCCCAACACAGTCCGCATATGGTCCAGACAGGAAAACAGTTTGGCTATAAAGAACAACACACACATTAGACAGGCATTTCATTAGCAATCCAGAAAATAATTACTACATTAAAAAATATGTTCTAGAAAATAAAACTTTTAACAGACACATTATGTCTTCAATGAGCACATTTTCAAGAACAAATGTAAAGGTCAGAAAATCTCCATTATCTGTCACACGGTTGCAGGGAATTCATAATATTACCTTGATCAAGAGGGTCTAGGTTGAGGCTGACGGTAGGGGACATGGGTACGTCATCTTCATATTCTTCCTCTTCTAACGGCTGCTCCCTTGGTGCTTGCCTCTCCTGACGTGAGTAGATGAACTGATTTGCTGTATAAAACACAAATACCTTATTGGACACTTTCAAACTAATATTTATGATACCGGGTTAATGCTGCAGAATTTAAACTAATCCTTTATTGAAAGATATTTTCATTCATTGTTATCTTTAACTGTCATTTTATTTTACAAATCATGTGACACAATGTTCTTACAGATTAATCTTGTCCATTAGCAAACATATATTCTTGCTGAGCTATAATATTGGTTCCAATGATACTAACCTGTTGCTGGTGATATACAGTAGTCATCATCCACAGACTGTCCATACACGTCATCATCGTCTAAGTCTAGGAAAAGGAATTAAGGTTCAAATGTTTTCCCATTTTACACAAGCATAGATATATAATGCAGTAGAAGTACAGATAATGAGTCATTGTTACAGCTGTCACTCTGCGTGGTCAGCAACTTTACAGAATGTATAACAAACAGTAAATCGGGAACGAGTTAATCATCTCTATCAACTTCACTGTATGTTTTAGATATTATTAGGCTTAATAAATGAATAAAGTCAGGCAATTTCAATATACCATATTCAATAAAGTAGCAGAAGCTTGTAACGTTTATTTCAAAACACTGGACAGCTATCCTGTTAGCGAAGCAAAGTCGGCTAACTTGAACTTTTATAAAGATGATTAATTATAGGCACATCACATCATGTTTTAACGTTGTAACCTTTTGCCAAAACCTTGATATACGTAGAAAACAGTGTTAAAGAGCAATGTATCTTGAGAAAGGGGCCAAGTGACACGACTGCAGTGTTATCTTGACAGCTAAAGTAGCTAGTATTAGCCGCTAAAGCTACAATCAACAACAGTACATGTTAGCTTAGCAGGCTAATGAATGAGGCCTTGTCGTGACGCCTAAATGGTAAACAACACCTAGTTGAGGGTATCTACCTTCATCGTAGTTATAACCTCGAACATTTCTGTGCCGAGACATTTTGTTTAAGTTTCTTCTCTCGGCTTGACCGTAAATGTGTTTCGGGTCACGGACTGTTGTGACATGTGTCTCACAGTCTCACTGCCGGACTGCCATTGCTGCTGCTGCTGCTGGGGCTGCTGCTGCGGCTGGTGCTGCTCGGTGAAAGTACAAGACTCAGATTGATTCTGAAACCCGGAAAAAAAAGATAAATTAAAACTGACGTATAAAAACGAATTTAATTTCCAAGTTTGGTTTTCTGTGGCTCGATGGTTAGCAACCTAATTATTAAATTAAATAAAAACTTGCTTTCAGACAATTGTTTTGTTTGCTGCTGACGTAACTTCCTGTTGCAGTTCCCTCTAATGCTGCCTGAGGTGAGGATCTCCCCAACAGACTTCATGAAACACCACATTGTATGCCAGATATAAAGGGAATTCCAATCAGTTGATTATTGTAGAGATTTATTTTATCAGCAGTCAACTGATATTAGATTTAGGGACAGAAAAGTATACTATTGGCAAGAAAAATCTACAAGAGATTGTACAGTGCAATCAGAGAGATACAGTATCTCCACGTTTTTGAGCAAGTCCACGAATCCAGTCTTTGTCAAGTCTGTCACCACCTTCGCGCAGCTGCTGGCGCCACTTCGTCCGGTCCTCCGCCAGCCTCTCCCAGTTATCCGTCGCAATGTCCAGGGCCTTCATGTCACGTTTTACGACATCCTTGAAGCGCAGCAATGGTCGTCCTCTGCCTCTGGAACCAGCGCTCAGCTCGCTGTATAAGATGTCCTTTGGCAGGCGCCCATCTGGCATTCTGCGAAGGTGACCAAGCCACCGCAGCCTCCTTACCTTCAGTGTTTGGAACATTGACTATGAATTTATCAAAAATCATCAATGTAATGCTGTCTTGGTTAATGGACGAGGAAACACTTGAAATGCATATTTGCCATGTCTAATTCATTTGAAGAACAAAGACAAGTTAGTAATGAGATTTTCCTCTCTGCACAACCTTAAATAAGATTTGAAGAGTTCAAATGAAGTGCAATGAAATTAGATGACAGTGTGTCTGCACAAAATACATTGCCAATTCTAATTTTGAGGTGTGAATTTCTAAACCATTTTTGTCAAAGGTTATGCCCTATGGTTAGAGATCAACCCATCTGAGCCCACACTCTACACCTTACCCAGACAGAAACACAATAAATGACATCATTTTTTCCTACTATCTTCACAAGAAACGTCTAGCCTACCACGAAAGGGAAGTACTTGTTTTGGTGTACATGTTTATCTCTGACTTGGTGTTTGCATTTCTACATGTCCAGTATGTTCACACGCATTTGTAAGCAGCAGATGTGTGCATTTGTGGTTTTTGATAGATTATGTTGTCCTGATCTCATCTAGTAACCTGCGTGCCGATGAAAAAGAAGAAGATGAAAATGTCATAACATAATCTGATATCAGTGATCTAGGTGAAATAATGCACTTGCACATCTGCACCAGTGAAATTGAATATGAGGTTTGGGGTGTCACCCCAATCTAAAAATAGAGCAGAAGGAAGAAAGACGTCTGCTTAGGTAATTGTAAAAACCTTTTCACAATGAATGGCTCATATTACAACCGGCAATTTGACAAGAAAAGCTTTAATTGAAAGGAGCAAGCATGTAAAAACATGAGGGGTATAATTCATATCAGGAGTATTTTATTTGTATTATCGCAAAATGTCACCTTTCGTTAAGAGTTTGCGTCTCTTTATGTGTGTGTTTGGTGCGCGTGTGCCTCAAAGTGGGTGGAGGTTTCCCCTCTAAAATTCCACTTCCTGCGTTTTGAAGTCTTGGTTGCACATCTACATGTCAAAATAAACAACTGCACGCACAGAGAACACATGCACTCACAGGTAAACAGACACAAACAAGCTCACTTTACAGGGTCACACAGGTGACAGAGAGGGAACTCTTCCTTTGCATCACTAAAATGTTTCTAGGACACAAAACCAAAAGGCGGCAAAGAGCAACTGATATGTAATGGAAATGCATTATGTTCCACTAGAAGCTGGCATTACTTTGGTTTAACATAACCTACAAAAGCCAAAAGTCTCTAGCACAGTGATAATCAGCGATATTATTTTTGATGAATATGTTTGTTTCTTTATATTTATGTATTTAGTCTTTCTGCTTTGATAATTTAATCCCATTTAGAGATGAATTAAGCATGGGTTACTTCTGAAAGCCGGGGTTTCATTTCACACCTTGATAATGTGGTCACAGATTTCACGGAACGAATGAATCAGTGGCGGGCAAGGAGGATATCTTAGAGAACTAATGTTGTGCTGATTAGATGTATTAAACAGATGGATGGACAGATTGCTAGAAGAATGAGCGGATCAGTGGATGCATGCTTTGTTTAAATTATGTAGAAATGGTATAATGACTTATAAACAGTATGGTTTGCAATCATAATTGTTTTCCTCTGTAACCGAATTATATTAATATAATTCTAAAAGATGTGCAAAATGTTAGAGAGCAAGTGGGTTGCCATGGTTTAGGGAATTAAGTGAAAGCATATTTGCAAATTAGTCAACAACAGCATGCAAATCTGAAAACACATTAATCCTGTAATTGTAGGAGACAAAGCTTATGTGCAACTGGGTGAGGGGTGAAGTCCAGCCCAAAAGTTGGCCGTGGGTGAGGTAATGCTTTCCATAATTTGCCAAGGGCACCAGGCATCATAGGAAAAGTCTTTCACAGGACCTCACCCCCTGGGCAAATGCAAAACCTACAAGTCTTTTACAGCTGGTCCAAACTAGAGTCAACACAAAAGCACATATGAAGTCCTTAAAGAAGCCTATAGAATTGAAAGGTTATAATTATGAAACTAAATAAAAATAATAAGTGCATTGCTTGAAAAACACGACACATATTAAATATCATTGACCATTACAATCGATTATTAGCAAGCAGGTTTAAAATAATGCAAAAGTCATAATGTTCCTCATATTTATGCTGGATTTAAAAGGTACTGCAGGGTAATGTTTACATCCTTTGCATGTTTATATAAGTATATTAGCAAAAGTCAACATATGGGTTTATTTAACCACATAACCATACATGATCAAGTTCACTATTTGGCTTGGGATCAACCCTTTTCCAACACAGGCCTTTACATACACATAGACAAACACTCTCACACAGACCATAACAATGCACATGTTTGGCCTTCCCAACATTGGATCTGAAAGCATGGTGGGGTGATATCTCAAGCCCAGAAGCCATCATTAAAAATCATTCAAATGAGCCAACCTGTGCACACAATGCTTTGCAAAGGGGGCGGCCATCACAATACCTGCCCTTAACCTGTCCAATCACACCCATGCAAATGTCCTTAGCTAGGAGTCAATGGGTCCCAGGCTTCCTACTCAATCTCCACTGTGAATTTGCATACACTGGCTCCTTTCATTCAATTTGGTTTCAGATAACAAAATGTAGTTTTTAATAATACCCTCGAGGGAAGAGACATAGGGGCTTGTGCAGAAAAAAGCTTAACACACATATTTAAAGGTGCACAACTCACACGTGTAAAATCAGAATGACATATTTGTTTATCCTGAAGTATGATTTTGGTTATTTATTTAGCTTCTTTTTACAATGGCGTTATCACTGGCTATGTCTGATGTTTACTTAATGTTGTGCTGTACTATAATTAACTGACTGTCCTTTTCTTTGTTTGAATGTGTCCGGATGTAATACAGTATGATGTTTGTAAATGTTCCCAACGAAGTGTTTTCTATTCTACTCTTATTTCCTTACTTTTTACTTTGTATGGCAATTTTGTAGGATAGCTGCTACATAATAAAAATATAATTTGAATAGATTAGAACCACCAGCTCGTCAAGGCAAAAATGAATGGAACAATGCTTGTGTACACAGGTGTGTAGTATTTGAAGCCTACAGGCGATTGCAACCAGGCAACCACCAATTATAGGCTCGCAGTAAGACATACTGGCACTTGAAGTCAAAAGCATATGATGATATTACACATATGTAGCCTCTAAACCAACACAATTCATCAATATTTAACTAATAACACACCAATTCAAACAAAATACCTCCCATGCTGTACTTCATTTACTCCATGATGAATTCTGTAAATCTTCATATTTCCCCCTGTCCACGCACTGAGTGATTCACTTCACTGAGCTCCACCCTGTTGCATGAAATAGTAAAATGTGCAGTCCAAGGCCATGTTTGTAAGACTGTGTGTAGCCCTTTATCAGGCCACTATTATGATGACTGCTCTGGGACAATAGACTGGTCTGGGGTGATGGTAATTACAAGTGACCAGGACAATACGGTCGCGTATGGAGGAACTAATACAATGAAGACACATTTATACAAATAAAGCATTAAGCCCCCCTTCTCCCTTGCAATGAATGGCTGAGCGATGACAGTCCTAGAGCAGGGAAGATGGAGAACTCAACCAAAACAAGATCATAATACATGGTGGTGGTGGCCAGTTGCATTAATAAAGAATAAAGCAGAACTTATGCAATACAGCTGGATCATAATTACATTTGTCATCTTTGAGAGAAGGTTGCTGAAAAACAGGCTAAACAAGTTCCTAATTTAAATGTGGATTATTTTGAATACATGCAAAGACATCATCAGCAAGCTCCTATTTAGAAGATGTAAAGGCAACTTGAGGAACAACTCTAAAATGAAGGCTTTTTTGCTTTAAAGGAAGTTGGTCGAGAAGTTAAGTGCAATAAATCACCTCAAGCAGAAGTGACATTCAATTACTTTCTCTTTTTTAACATTATTTCTTATCTTGGTGAGCACAACAGCTTGTTTTATCGCTTGATGATAATAGTCTAGCCGGGTCGTGAAAGCTTTATCACTGAGAAACACCTGTGTATGCAACACCAGCAAGCAGCACTACACACTAACAAGTAGCCGAGAACAGAAAGCAGCACTGCACATTCACTTTGAACACATGCCAAGCCCATTCCCCAATTGTTTGCTCCGTCCAGACACATTAGTTCCCTTCTCCTTTTCACCAGATGAGAAGTAACTCACAAATATTGTTGACAAAAAGCATTTAGCGCGGACAACCGGCAGAAACGCGCCTTTGACAAGACGACTGTGTAGTGCCCGGTGCATTCAGGGACGCTTCGTAAATGTGTATATGTATATTTACAATTTAACCATTTAGGCACAAATATTATTTCACCAACATTCAATTGACCCTTGCAAGAATATGTTATCCAGACACGTTTTAATCATGGTATAAGTATTTATATTTTAACAGTGTAGTTCTGGCGAAGCAGTGTTATCAACATCGGTTTGCATAGTTTACTTTGTCTTTCACAGCGGAAAAAAACAACAACCTAAAAAGTGTGTTTTCTATTTTAATAATCATTATGTTTACTTATAATTTGACAACATTTAATGGAGAGAACATTAACATTATGACTTTCCACATTCAAACAGTAACTACAAAACGTCCGATGGTCTTTGAAGCATACTCCCTGGGCATGCGCAGTAGCACAGCTCAGAAGCGCCAATTTTACCGGGATGCTAGAAGGGGCGGAGCAGTAGTAGAGGCTGTGTAGTTTAAATTAATGTCAACCTGCCTCTGCCAGTAGATCAAAACCAGCAGAGATAGCGAAAGTACGTGCTCAGCGCAACCTGAGAGCCGCTCTACACATATTAACATGGCTCGGCGGCCGAGAAACAGGTAAGCTCAAACAAGCCAATAACTATTTTATTTGCAGTATCTTTAACTTCCATTTCCCCTCTATTTGCGCGTTGAACTGACGGAGTTTCTGTTTTTCTTCTCACAGCATTAATGTTGTGCATCATATTGACAGAGCTCATGTTTATTTTTCGTCAATTCTTTATTTTACAAGCCTGTTTTGTGTTTGTGATGCGTTGTTTTGTTCTTGGCCGATAAAGCAGAGTAGTGGTGTGTGTGTCTAACTCGCGCGCCCATGACAGGTGGTGGTCATCTGGCATGTGCGCTCCTCGCGCTGCTGTCAGCGGTGAGAGGGAGAAAGGGGTCTCCCTCTCAAATACACACATACACACGCGCACACACACACCCACACACACACACACACACGGATTAATAACATTAGGCGGGTGGGCAGGCGCGTGCCACGACGTGCGCAAAGCTGTGCATGGACAACATTGGTTTTAATACGCTTATAATGAATCATACACACTGAAGCATAGTGTATGTCTAACTCAGTCTAGACGCTCATATACTTGAATGCATTGCAGCACACAAGCTCATGTCCTAAAATAAGTTATAGAAAGCTTTGAAATTGTTTCTCTTGTATTATTTAGCTAGTCTTTTTCCGGGGACCATCACCTCAGTCAGGCACATGTTTTCATTCTCGCTTTGTTTTGAGATTGGGTCATATATCTGGCATAAAGTTTATTTTAATCCCGCTTTGAAACGTGCATACCCCGCCGCAGCATCTCTGATAGCGAGGGGCGCTCAATGTTATTTTGGAAACTGTGTCTGTTTTGTGCACACTTGTTTCCACGAGTGGCTGGATATTTTTGTGTCGATTACCCTTGTTCTATTAGAAGAATAGCCACACATTTAACCTCCGGTCACTCTCATTAGTTAACCGTTTTGTACGCTTTCTTTATGGGCTTTTCCTGTAAAGAAGCTGTTTATTGCATTGGGGTTTCGTGCCTGGTTTTACCTATCATTGTTTCTGGTTATGGGTTCAGTCTGATGGTTTTACACAGATAACCTGAAGAAAGTGACAGATCGCTTCACACAAAGAAACCCCGCTCAGAGATAAGAGCAATTATTATCTCTAAACTGTTTAGTTTCATTCTCAACATGAGTAGTATGACTGTTCATTGTCTCTTAATTGCTTTTTTGTTCATGTGAAGTTCAAAGCAATGTTTATTAATGGTTTGAATATAGTTATTATTTGGTGTCCTTTTCCTTTGTTTTCCTTAAAAATAGCCAATTTATACAATTCACAAATTAGCATTTTATATTCATTCACTTACAATATACTCTTGTCTTACTCCATTACGTCTTTTGTTGTGTATGGTCATTGCTGTTTATTACAGGTATTCACACATAGGTAAATGGACATAAATAAGGAAGATAATCCAAAGTAAATATCCTCTTACACACACACACCAACACACACAGACAGTCTGTGCACACCACACACACACACACACCACACACACATCAA